AACTAGTGTCTGAAGAAGACCCGGTTCGCATATCTACTGATGAACAGAAGATCTGAAAACTAAGATAGTTCGAGTTGATATCGAAACAGAAACCACATTCGCGAGCCATCCATCTTCAACCAAGTGCAAAATCCTCCATTTGTAGATTTCCAAACCTTCCAATGGATTAAAGTTATACGAATTGAGATTGAGTGATTTTCTTTACCTGTAAAAATCAAGTCCCAACTGCTCGGCCATCTCAATGTCCTTCTCGTACTGGTTGTAAGAGTCACAAGCAACATCTCCGTTGGAGTGATCCTTGATCCTATGGGGCTGTGTATGCGTGTAATCGTCCCAAGTACTTGGTGTTTTGTCTAAGAAATAAACCATCTTAAGAAGAACCCATATGTTACCCAAGCATCGTATATATTTTTTAAAGTTTTTGTAAAGATTGCTCGATTTCGCAATTTGAGTGATGACAGAATTGAATCCCAGTGCTGTGCTGCGAAGCAATCCCACATTGCACTCTGAATGGTGGGATGATAGCTCAACCGCACATCTCCGTATCCATTCACTACTAGATAAGCTCTATGCCCCGTTACAGAAATAAAACTTGCGATTATTTATGACGCTCACACGGAAATGAAGTATCGTGATTCACTAAACATGAGACCCGTAGTCAGAACCCGTCCAAAAAATGTACTTATAAATTTAATAGCATCGGTTGTTTTTTTTTATGATTGAAGGTTTGCTGGTGGCCCGGAGGCTTTTCCAGTTTCACCAGGATAGGTAGGCGAGCAAAGGCTCAGCCAGGAGGGGTGAGATTTGCTAACAACTGCCCGAGCGCCTGAGAAGATCCGGCGAGAAACTCAGCGGGCTGATGCTGTTGCACGTCGAACTCTTTGTCAAATTCGACGAGTACGGTTGTCGGGGTCCTATAGCCTGCTCCTAGTAATAGAGCTGAAGGCATCTAATGCAAGAGTTATTGGATCTGATGCATCCGTAAGGACATGTCTAGGGGGACGACGGTGACTGGCTCCTGCGTGATCAGGATTCGGGGAGTAGTCAGCGGCGGCAACGACAAGGCGATTATCATGACGCATAGCCTTATCGAAGTAGACATCAGTTGAACTTGAAAACGAGGTGCTGCGTAAGCTAAATCCCAGGCAACTCGAAATTTGAAAACAATTCGTTTTTAAAGTAAACGTATTTTTTTTAAATCTAAGACCTCAATCAACAAATTACGAATTGTTCGGAATAGTATGAATATAATCATTAGTTTTTGAAACTCAAACTCACCACTAACATTCCAGGACCCTTCGATCTGGTACGACGACGTGGCCGCCCCGAACTTGAACCATCTCGGGAAATGCAATTCCTTATTCGCCAAGAGCGGACGAAGGAATGAACTGAAACTTATTACAAATCGTAATTATTAGGACTATCTCATATCTTTTTAGTGCAACAGACGAGCCACTAGCAATCTGGTATTAAACTGTTGACTGATGATAAAAACCCATAAAACCTCATAAAAAATTTAATGGGCTTAACTCGTAAAAGTTTTCATAGGTATGTCACGTACGTGATGACAGAATGTGGAATTCTTACCTCAATTGTATATTGTTTTGTTGCCCTTGTAGGTAGACAAGCGCACGGTCCACCTGATGATGAGTAGTTCTCGTTGCCCATGGACGTCAGCAATGCCAGGGGCAGAACCATCCTGGTTCTTCGAAAAACACCGCGGAAATAGGTCAACTACCCGAGTGGGCCCACAATACGCTCTATCGCCCAGTGCAATTTTTTTTTTCTTACATGGGTGGACGAGCTCACAGCCCACCTGGTGCTAAGTGGTTAAGCCCATAGACATCTACAACGTAAATATACCACCCATCTTGAGATATCAGTTCTAAGGTCTCAAGTATAGTTACAACGGTTGCCCCGCCCTTCAAACCGAAACGCATTACTGCTTCACGGCAGAAATAAGCCTACCCGCGCGGACTCACAAGTGGTCCTACCACCAGTAAATATTATAAAGTAATAAATAAAATCGTACCAGAAAAAAATAAAAATCGTGAGTGGCTATAAAATCCGACTTTTAACCATATAAAGGCGCTATCCTGGCCTGATGGGATAACTAATATTACTTCTATACCATCCATATTTTCATTTTATTTACCCAAAACACACACGCAAAAGCTGGCCAAATACACCCAAGTCCATAACGAGCATTCCAATAAAAATAAAAACTCACCATAGAACATAAGCTACCACTAACATTTCTCTGATAGAATGTATTATTGTTGTCGATAAACCTCTGTTATATTACTTCCTCGCGTCGTAGGTTAGTGTAAAATTTGGTATTTTCATGTTTTGACTTATTTATATTTGCTTCATAGCGTAGGAGTTGCTTGAAAGAAGACTCGAATACGCGAAGCAGTTCTTATGTTAGTGTGTTGTAGTAGTTATAGATAATACACATAAATTAGTTATAGATAAGCAACTCAAGGACTCAACAAAAATGTTTACGGGCGTCGGCCACTAGATGGCTTCGCTTCGATTAGTGTCTCATTGCTCCTGTAGATGCCAGTAACATATTACCTATCCTCCGTTTTGTTTTTACTGATGAAGGATTTTGTAAATTTTCAGAAACCACAAATTGATAAAATGTAATCAATTTGTCTATCTATCTATATAATCTATCTATCTATCTATATAATCTATCTATATCTATAAAAATGAATTGCTGTTCGTTAGTCTCGCTAAAATTTGAGAACGGCTGGACCGATTTGGCTAATTTTGGTCTTGAATTATTTGTAGAAGTCCAGAGAAGGCTTAAAAGGTAGATAAATATGAAAATTCTCGGAGTTAAATAAAAATAACAGTTTTGTTTTTCCTTTGATGCGTCCCCCGTCGGTCGGATTCCTTTTGTTTGTTTTAAGTTTATTTTATACAAAAGTTTAGGTCTTTTATTTATCGATTGAGGCACTACGTAGTCTGCCGGGTCAGCTAGTAACAAATAGAGACGTGTATGATTTATATTTTTTTTATTTTCTGTGTCAAATTATACAAGAATTAAATACTTTAACTTTAACAACACATAAGTTTAGGGGCATCCGCTACATGATGTCGCTAGTGTCTAAAAAAAATTTTTTTTTTGTTGCTTGGATGGGTGGACGAGCTCACAGCCCACCTGATAAAGTGATTACTGGAGCCCATAGACATCCACAACGTAAATGCGCCACCCACCTTAAGATATAAGTTCTAAGGTCTCAAGTATAGTTACAACGGCTGCCCCACCCAAACCCATTACTGCTTCACGGCAGAAATAGGCAGGGTGGTGGGACCCACCCGCGTGGACTCACAAGAGGTCCTACCACCAGTAACCAGTAAGTTTGTCTTAGAGCAGTGATTATCAAACTTATTTCTTTTACCGCCCCCTTTGAAAATCAATTATTTTTCAGCGCCCCCCATTTTTTATACACTCCTAAAACTTTAAAACCACAATTTCATTAATTTAATTAATAAATGTTGTATTAATTTTAGTAAATGTAGTACCACGTAGTACATATATATTTGTAGATGCTATTATTGTTTCTTCATATTATTATATGTCCGTACATTGCTACAGAGCCTGTATTTACAAATTTGCAAAGTAAAAATGAATTCTTCTCATCAATATGTTTGTTTAAATTCAGAATTACCAAAATAAATTGCTAGTTCACTGTACTATTACTATGCTAATTTATTAGAACGAAACTATTTTTGTTGAATATCTTTCTCATTAATATAAGATTCTCATCAAAAGATAATTAAAAATTTATATTTCGACTAGTAAATAATACTACTAACAATAATAACTTATTAAACTACGAATAAGCTAAACCTGGAAGTCGTAGAGGATTTCATTTATCTGGGCTCCGTCATAGCTAGTAATGGATCCTCCGAAAAGGACCTCAGAAGGCGAATCAGTATGGCAAAGAGAGCTATGTCCCAAANAGTATGTTAAAAATTTGAATTGGCGCGTAACCGCAACGATGCAACGCAATAACTGCAACACGGTCTTCTTTAAGCGTCCACTCCATATTTAAAAATGAGTAAAATTCTAAAAGTATACATTTTTATTTTCATGAACAATTCGAAATTCGAATTCAATAAACTTTTTTGTGGCCAGCATTCTAAAAGAAAAGTTTTTACTGTGTGACAATACTTATAACCTGACTAGTTATATATAAAAAAATGATTAGTTGTAATTTGTACTTCTGTGGAAGTTTTATTTATCCCGAACCCCAGGGCGTAACAATATGTAGGCTTAAAGTGATTGAATCCCAACACCCGCATACCGACCGTCAGACTGTAAGCTGACGTTATCCTCACGATCTCTTGACTAGTTTGTTCAATAAATGTTATTAGTGCAATTCTTAATTTTGTTAGTGTTTAATTGGCAACATTATCGGGTTATGAATCTCTCTTCGATTGAGAGAGACATCGTTAAAAGATAAAATAATCATATAAAAAGATACAGAAATACTTTATTTATAACGATAATAACTCCGGAAAACAGTAATACACAATTTTGGAAATTATGCGCTAAAAATGAACAACAAATTTCAATTTTGACAATAATAACCCTACATTAAACAAGTTGTACTTTGAAATGTTTCTCGTCAAAGAATATTGTTGCGCCGGATGTGTTTTCTGTTGACTGGTTTTGAGTTCTCTCTTCGATCGGTCCCTCACTGCTGATTTCGTCAACCAGCTGTCTCCATCGATCCCGCCCTGCAGTCCGGTGGCGTGCGTCGCTGACAGGTATCCCCAGTTCCTCCGCTATTTGGTCCGACCTCTACCCCTTTTCCCCTCTATTTTACCGCTCACCACAAGGCGTTCCAAATTGCTGGTATCCCTACGTGCAACATGAGTGGTTTTGAGTTACTAAATCTAAATATGTTGTACTTAAACGAATCAAATAGTCTGTTATTTTAATAATAATAAAATATTATAAATATTTATTTCACAACAATATTTTATGCGACATCATCAATAGGTTTTTTGTTGTCGTTCGTATCTTCCATCTGTGACTTCCACTTGTTAGAATCGATCGATCTGCTCTTGATAACGTATGAGTAGTACTGGGCTGAGAGTCTTGGAGTTCGCTTCCGGCCCTCGTCAGAGAAGTCGACGTCGTAAAGACCAAACTTTGCTCTGTAAACATTTATAACTGATAAAGAACACGAATTTCCACCTTGACACACCGCGTTAAAGTCGTAATTATCCTGTATAAAGGTTTTCGCATCTTATAAGCGGGACAGCATTTTTTTTATACCTTAGATGGTTGGACGAGCTCATGGCCCACCTGGTGTTAAGTGGTAACCGGAGTCCATAGACAACTACAACCTAAATGCCGCCAACCATCTCAAGACATGAGTTCTAAGGTCTTAGTTGTACATACAGTACAACGGCTTCCAAAACGCATTAGTGCTTCATGGCAGAAATAGGTGGGGTGGTGGTACCTACCCGTGTGGACTCTCAAGACGTCCTACCACCAGTAGTAAATTCTGCGGCAGATATAGGCAAACTGTACTTACCAGTGCGTTATTAAAATATGCCCCACTACCAGTATTTATGCAAATTTATGTTTTTTTTTTTTATTGCTTAGATGGGTGGACGAGCTCACAGCCCACCTGTTGTTAAGTGGTTACTGGAGCCCATAGACATCTACAACGTAAATGCGCCACCCACCTTGAGATATAAGTTGTAAGGTCTCAGTATAGTTACAACGGCTGCCCTACCCTTCAAACCGAAACGCATTACTGCTTCACGGCAGAAATAGGCAGGGCGGTGGTACCTACCCGTGCGGACTCACAAGAGGTCCTACCACCAGTAATTACGCAAATTATAATTTTGCGGGTTTCAATTTTATTACACGATGTTATTCCTTCACCGTGGAAGTCAATCGTGAACATTTGTTGAGTACATATTTCATTAGAAAAATTGGTATCCGCCTGAGATTCGAACACCGGCGCATCGCTTCAACACGAATGCACCGGACGTCTTATCCGTTAGGCCACAACGACTTCAGGATTCATTTTCGTTAAACGATTTTCTCTCTTCCAAAACAACAAACAGGATATTGAAAATGTTACTTACGTGTACCCGTAAAGCCATTCGAAGTTGTCCATCAGTGACCAGTAAGTGTAACCGTGTATTCTGGCTCCGTCTTCGTAAATGCAAAGTAGAATCTAAACAATAGTGAGTTAAAAGAGAATTTTGCATGAAGTTCTCAAGCGCGGCTCGAGGTTGACGATAACTGATAGAAAATGTCGCGTAGAATTATTTAATGGAGGATAGAAGTAATCTCAGTGTATTAAAAAGTGTCCGCTGAAAGAGAGCCAATTAAGGGGGCGCCACAGTAGCAAGTGGAAAGTTTTTAAAAACAACGCCATAAACTATTATAGTAGGATACTAAATTTCGATAGAGAGAAACCCTTCCCACATTAATGGTAATAAAAACAAATAGTTGATATTTTTACCAGTGCATATTTTTTAACTACAAAAATCACAAAAAAATATTAAATTTTTCAACCCAGCACACTTCACTCTGAGTAAAAATGCTACATTCATACTGTTACGCCGGTAAGAGTAACGCCATCTTTCGTCGAATAGCACAAACGAATATCAAAAGCACTAGTACAATCGAGAACGCTCGGGAAGTGCAACGCCATCTATTATCAATTAACGGAAACACATATCGAAACTACTGGCCTTACCGAGAATGCTCTCGATAATTGTAGAGTTATCGTATCGACTATAAAAGCGTTGCAGAGATGACACGAAGGTAGTTAGTAAACGGATGTACTCGAAGCGAAACAGCAAAAAGAAGTGAATTACGAATTCTAAAGTGTTCATTAAGTGTTTTAAGTGTTAAATAGAGTTTTAATTTGTACTTCGTTGGAAGTTTTATTTATCGCGAGCCCCAGCGCGCAACAATACTATTTTCATTTCCTACACTAGCGCTATTTCGGTGAGTCTTTCAACAATAGCTTGCTGTTTACAGATGGACGGATGTTGTTGTTGGATGGATGGATGGATGTAGCGGACCGGGTTATGTCGGACTCCGGCGCCTCCAGAGAGGAAGAGAGACGAGGAGGACCAAGGTCCTCCACCTCCCCCAATTCCTCGCAGGAGACTATGCCTAACACTAGCCCTAGCAAGAACAGTGCTTCGGTGTATCTATTAACAATTCGGAATCGCGACCCACTGAGAAGATCCGGCGCGAAACTCAGTGGGCAACAGAATCTCAGTCGGCAATATGAATCTCGGTCTTACTGCAGTCGTGTTAAAGACGATATTTAAACGTCGAATTCGATACTTTAAAATTTACTGTGCATTAGATTATCTATGAACCGACCGGCCCGGCCAAGTGAAAGCGATTTAATACCGAGCCCTTTGGAGATGAAACACTGCGCATAAGTCTCTTACATTATTTGTGTTTACATACATATCAGAGATAATGATGACATCTGTTCGAAATGAATCTGTGAGTTGTGAGTTTTTACCACGGCAACACTGGTCGCAAATTGACGGGGCAGAGACTTTTTGGCGGGAACGCGAGGAGTGAAGTTGTGTGATTTGTTTTATTTTGTCTATTTAGTGTTTCTTCAGGTTTAAATGTGTAATAATGGTGGTTTATTAACTGTTTAATATCTGTGAAAGTGCACAAATGTGGGAAAATGAAACAAAGCTGCTGGACGTAACTTCTCGGGTTCCTCCAAAAAGTCCGCTGAAAAAATCTCAGTAAATGACCACCATTTTACTGCGATTATATTTCATCCCATATCATCTCATTTCATTAAATTCATCCCAGTTGATTAATGTCTCAAATTAATCATCTTCATTTCATTTCACTCCATATTATCATTTTTCATAAAATTAAGAATATAAAGTAAAATAAGACATGACTTAAAGGTCTAAGTTACCAGGTCATAAAATCTCTTAAAAAAAAATAAAAAATTGACGGGGCGTTCGCGACTTGACATCAAATCTGTCACTTCTCAGTCCAAAAGTTAGATGCGCGTGTCGGTTACGTTTTACGGTGTTTCATCATCCCATACTTTTCTTATCACATCCTCACCCTGAAGCCTCCTATCCTACATGATACGACGTGGTTCTACGAGGTCATCGGTTCTGGTGAGTGATAGGCTAATATTTTATTAAGAAAACACATATGCCGTCGCGGATCGCGGCACGTGTTCGACGGGCCCCTCGTGCTAGTTTCCGGAGCCCTAGACTACCACGAGCGGGCTGGGTTCAGATCAAACAACATCATCAGTACGATCAGCATCTTTAAGGGCATTGAAAGTCTTCTTCTTCATGTTCTTGGCCTTATCCGACTACGTGGGGCTGATGCAGTATGTCTTCATTTTTCATTCATATCATACGTCATCTGTGCGCTCACATCCTTCGCATATCCTCGTTCACATAAACCATCCAAGTCTTTTTAGGAGACCCCGTCTCTAACCCAAGTTTTTTTTTTCATAACTCGTTTATAATCACAGAAGATACTCAGAAGACTTCAATTCTAACAGATAAACATGAACCGTGTCAGGACGAGTTCATGCAACAACAAGTCATCAAATATAAAATACCTGCTCCAAGTGCTTCTCGATGAAGGTGATTCTGTTGAAATCATTCAGGTCATCTTTGTAACTGGTGTAACCGTTTTCAGTGATGAGAATGTCTTGGACTCCGTAATTTTTCGTGACCCAAGCTATAAACGCCCTGAGGCCCTCAGGGTATGACTGCAACAAAGGAATTTAAATGTCTGAGAATTATCTCTTTATTTAACTACACTTATTTAATATATGGGGAAGTTAATTAAGTCTTCTAGATTGGTAAAGGTTCTGAGAGACTGTTTTGGTCCAAATCCACACAAACACAGAATCATCATCCGCGTTGGAGCTTCGTGTTGGTATGTGCGAGCCAATAAACGTCTCGATTTTCCACTAGAACTTAGAAAGCGTAGAAAGAAATAACGAGGAACAGCTTACGCTATATAGTTCAGGGTGCCCCGCAGTGCTGTTAGGGTAAGGTTCGGAAATCGCGTTCAACTCTGGCAGATCACCAAGGGATTCCTGCCTTTCTTCGCCAGCTTTAGCCTTTCTCACCATGCGACTGGTGTAGTAGTTCAGTCCAACGAAATCGTTAGTACCTGAGAAGTTTCGCCACGATAAAAAGCTTGTCGAAATATTCACGCATCTGAACTTACGTGGATTGTTATCATATCCCTACAATTCTTTACGGCAACTTCACAACATATTGTTATGCAAAAAATATGTATGGTATATACAAAAATTGTATATGTATTTATCTAAATTCTTAGTTCATATTTATCTAAATTCTTTATTCTTTTATAAGGGAAAAATAGTAAAATTATTATTTTAAAATAATTTAATATTTAGTAGACTTTGTTTTGATGTGAAAATGTTCAGAAGATGTTTAATTATTAATTTATTGTTTAAAAACACAAATGACTGTCAAAATACTCTAATAATAATTATAAGCATAAATATTAAATAAAAAATATGTTATATTTAACATTAATAATATTGTTTCGCCTGTAAGAGTAACGCCTTCTGCCGTCGAATAGCCGAAACGAATATCAAAGGATCTAGTAACATCTAGAACGCTCGAGTAGTACAACGCCATGTATTGTCAGATAGCGGAAACACATATCGAAAATACTCGACTTGTGAGGAATGTTCTCGATAATTCTAGGGATGTCGTATGGACTATAAAAGCGTTGTAGAGACGGCACGCAGTCAGTAATCGGGTCCACTCGAAGCGAATCAGCGAACGGATCACCTGAAGCGAAGCGGAAGAAATGGAGAATTTTAAAATGTTCTGTGAGTGTTCTAAGTGTTAATACAGTTTTAATTTATACGTTAGAATTTTATTTATTCCGAACCCCAGCGATAACATACTAATGTGTATATTGTTTGATTGTCTGGAAGAGATCGCTCTTACCGATAAGACCGCCCATTATATTATTATGTACTTTTTTGTATTTTTTGTGTTCTTTTGGGATAAAATATGATGATTGTGATGATAATCTCTGACACTACTGATGTCTTTGAGCTACGATGCCTTCTCGACGTCAGGAACGGAATTCCGTAGGTTGGCTGCCTTCTAAGGCAATAAAAATGTTTTTATATTATTCTTTTTTTTTTATTGCTTAAATGGGTGGACGAGCTCACAGCCCATCTGGTGTTAAGTGGTTACTGGAGCCCATAGACATCTAGAACGTAAAATGCGCCACCCACCTTGAGATATAAGTTCTAGGGCCTCAAGTATAGTTACAACGACTGCCCCACCCTTCAAACCGAAACGCATTACTGCTTCACCGCAGAAATAGGCAGGGTGATGGTAACCACCCGTGCGGACTCACAAGAGGTCCTACCACCAGTAATTACGCAAATTATAATTTTGCCGGTTTAAATTATAATTCTTATAATTATAATTATAATTCTTCCCAATCCTCCGAGCAAGATGCGACAGCTTCGTATCGGAAATGACCAGGATTGTGAAACTTACTAGTGCGGGCTTACAACATGCTCTGTCACGTTTATATTCAATTTACAGCCACATTAACAGGGATGCAAGTACCCTGGTTTCCCCTCAAAGGTGATTATGTATGTATGTCGTATCACTCTTGTCAGAGCGGTCGTGGTCGTCATCCAGTATCATTGCTGTGGGCAGATGTTATGCGCCTCACGAGCAATCGCCACTCCTTGCGGTTTGTGGTGACCCTGGTACANAACATGCTCTGTCACGTTTATATTCAATTTACAGCCACATTAACAGGGATGCAAGTACCCTGGTTTCCCCTCAAAGGTGATTATGTATGTATGTCGTATCACTCTTGTCAGAGCGGTCGTGGTCGTCATCCAGTATCATTGCTGTGGGCAGATGTTATGCGCCTCACGAGCAATCGCCACTCCTTGCGGTTTGTGGTGACCCTGGTACACTCATGCAAACAGCCGCCAACTGCCGACTTGATCTGGTCGGTCCATCGCATGGGCAACCTTCCACGCGGTCTGGTGCCTTCTACTTTGCCCTGAACGACAAGTCGCTCTATGGAGTCATTTCCTCGCTGGGAGACATGTCCAAAAAATGTTAGTATGCGTCCATGCACGAGCGCCGAAAGACGCTGCTTAATGCCGAGTTCTCGAGAATAAGGTGATTAGCACCGGTAAATTAGGAACTCACCTCTGATGAATTCAACTTCATGTTTGGTTAACGGAGGTAATCTAGAGCGCGGGAACCCTTCGACTGAGCTGATATTCTTCATGAGTTCTACAACGGTTGCAGGCCACCCTCCAGACTTGGAATATATTGGATGCATAAAACGACCAAACTGTAAAGAGAACGAATTTATGGGTCTTGCCATATCGTGGCCTACTGGCTAAGAAGCCGAGGTTCGGGTACTCGCATGGAATGATACAACTGTGCCAAGTTTGAATATTGCATCAATTGATACAGTTACGTATTTAGTACAAGTTCTTCAGAACAAAAATCTGTCACTACGGAATAAATTAATTCGCGAGACAGCTGTCAGCTGTCAGTAAATCCCGTCCTTCCTGGCAGAGCCTTTGCTCGTCCATCTGTCCTGGTGAACCTGGAAAGCCCTCCGGGCCACTAGTAATCGTTTATTCATGTGTAAAAAACAACTTGACCAGATACCACCAGTGCGCACTAAATATATATATTACATACATTGTATTGCCGGTATAGTTCCGCGAGTTCCGCATCGTCTTGAGTTTCTGCACCGAAATAAAATGCAACGTGGGCGATACTGACTTTTCCTGCAAGAAGACGTTAATCTTAATGGCTATGTCAATACATAACGTATATATAACTCTAGCTAATATATATATATATATATATATATACATGTATCGGCGCAGCATTACTATTTAGTTGACTAAGATTAGTAAAATTTAACCGTTTCCTTAATATTGACGTAATTGGTCAGTTATATATAGTTAATAGTTAACTATTGCAAGTTCAACGCATGTAAGCAATTATTTAAGGCTGTGTTCATAACAATTAATGACTAAGCTTTCTATTATAAATACGAGTGACTATTGTCGCATAAATACATTCTGGCTCGAGCAGTCGAACGGATCGGAGCTCTCGGATATTATCGTTGTACACTGGAATGTAATAAATGGGATTCATTGGAAAAGTGAGTATTATTCACTGTCATTATTGAAGGCAATGACAACAACGACGAAAATGACGTCACCATTTTTACACCATTATTACTAACAAAATGGTGCCAGTGGCACCATCATGAGTCGTTGACGTCATCAGCAATAGTGACGTCATCATTTTAAAAACACCGTTGAATCAGTCACTCCGTCATATATATATTATTGTACGCGACCGGATCAATGATCCTCCGAAATATCGGGATAGTTAGAGAATTAATCTCCGGTAGGATTCCTGATCTAGTTTTCTGGAGCTACACAACATGTCTTTCTTCAAACGTATCAACGATAAAAATCGGTATTCTATGTCACTAACATCTCTTGGTTGTTGAGCAGCGCTGTCTACAAGTGGCTTAAGATGGTATGAATGAACTCTACTCCGATAGCGGCATTGCTATAGTGAAAACGAGATGATGAGATCATGACAAACAAATAAAACATGCCTCTTATCTTTCTGTAAATATTTTCCTCTAATAAGGCACAAGCCAATCAATAAGGATGCAAAGCTTCGGGTAAACAAAGAAATACCTTGATACATCGGCTTATAGTTATCTTTATAATTATGGTAAGCTTTGGCATGAGCCATGAGTACAGTCTTCGTGCACAAATATGGAGCCAAGAATGGCTCGACGACGCCAAGAGCTTTTAAGCTGCTATCACAAGCAACTAAAGGCTCATTGATCGTGATCCAAAGCTTCACTCTGTCTCCGTACAGAGAGAAAGCTACATCCGCGTAATCGGCAAACCATTGTGCCATTTCAGGATTGGCCCAGCCTCCTGCAATAAAATTAGATGTTATGACTTCAAGTAATGGAATGTTTGTTAATGACATTAATGCTATTGAGCCTAGTGGATTAACTCACGAAGCCTATTAGACATCAAGATCCTTTAGATATTTAGATTTAATATAGAATTAAAATGAGTTCACATCAATTTCACGATTATTTGTTGTAAATGGTATTGTAAAATTATATCAAAACTCCTGGCGCGAAGCCGTTAGAATACTATTGCTTTTAAAGAATGATAGGATATAGTCAAAACTATATCAAGGCCGGACTCGTGTCGTGATCTTGTGCTTAACATCCAGACAACAGTTGCCCAATCTTCTTCAAGCCGAAACGCGTTACTGCTTCACCGTACAAATAGGTAACACAAAATAGGCAGAGTCGTGATGTGAACCAATGTGAAATCACCATACGCCCTACCACCAATAAGTTTTTGAGAAATTTACTGAGTAATAGTTCAAATATTACCCAAATCTTGAAATATCTTCGGCATATCTGAATGGTACAAAGTGACCATAGGTTCAATCCCCCTGTCTAGCAGTCCGTTGATCAAATTGTCGTAGTATTGCCGTCCGTCTGAACTGATGCGAGTGCGGTATCCCTCAGGCAACAGTCTTGGCCAGGATATAGAAAACCTACAAAAATGTCCAAGATTATTAGATAGATAATATGCTAGCTAGTAATAAAAATATCACAAGTACGCCTAGTTTCCGAAGAATTAGGAGAAGAAAAATTAATTAAGTACTACAAAAACACGGCATTAGAGGAATTGGCCGTGGGAGAATGTGTCTGAAGAAGATCCGGTTCGCATATCTTCTGGTGAACAGAAGATCCAAAAACTAAGATAGTTCGAGTTGATATCGAAACATAAAGCATAATCACTAGCCACTTCTTCACTAGCTAGATGGATTCTTCAACTAAGTGCACACTAATCCTCCATTTGTGGATTTCCAAACCTTCCAATGGATTAAAGTTATACGAATTGAGATTGAGTGATTTTCTTTACCTGTAAAAATCAAGTCCCAACTGCTCGGCCATCTCAATGTCCTTCTCGTACTGGTTGTAAGAGTCACAAGCTACATCTCCGTTGGAGTGATCCTTGATCCTATAGGGCTGTGTATGCGTGTAATGGTCCCAAATACTTGGTGTTTTGTCTAAGAAAGAAACAGTTTTAAGAAGAATCCACGTGTTACCTATACATTGTCTACATGTTTTAAAGTATTTGTAAAGATTGCGATTTCGAAAATTGAGTGATGACAGAATTATTTGTCGGAAAACGGAGCTCTCTGAGTGCTCTTTAATTATCTCCGCATACTGCGACCACCGACCGTCATTAACGAGCAAATTGTGAGCATGCATACAAGAGTATCACAATGCGCCTTATTGGTGCTGCGAAGCAATCCTACATTGTGCTCTGAATGGTGTGATAGTAACCAAACCCCACATCTCGGCATCCATTCACTACTAGATAAGCTCTATGCCCCATTAAGAAATAAAAAATTTGCGATTACTTATGGCGCTCACACAGAGATGAAGTATCGTGAACTTACTAAACATGGAACTCGTGGTAAGAACCCATCCAAAAAATGAATTTTTACATCGATTGTACTTAAAAACGAGGTGCTGTGTAAGCTAAATCCCAGGTAGGTAACACGAAATTTTAAAACAATTCGTTTAAATTAAGGTTTTTTTAAAATCTAGTCAACTCATTACGAATTGTTCGGAATAGTATGAATATAATCTTTAGTTTTTAAAACTCAAACTCACCACTAACATTCCAGGACCCTTCGATCTGGTACGACGACGTGGCCGCACCGAACTTGAACCATATCGGGAAATGTAATTCCTTATTCGCCAAGAGCGGATGAAGGAATGAACTGAAACTAATGACAAATCGTAATTATTAGAACTATCCCATATCTTTTTAGTGCTTTAGCCGAGCCAAGAGCAATCTGGTGTCAAACTGTTAACTGGTTATAAATACCCATAGAAGCTCGTAAACAGTTTTATAGGTGCGTCACACACCTTGGGACAGGATGTGGAATTCTCATCTCAATTGTATTAAATAGCTGCTGTCCCATTCCTCGAAAGACATCATGGAAATAGGCAGAACCGTGCTAAATATCCGACCGGGCTCACACTATGCTCTACCGTCAAATCACAAAATCGTTAGTGATTATAAAATCTGTCCGACTTTTACCCAGATGAAGGCACTATCCTGACCTCATGGGATAACTACTATTACTTCTATACCATCCATATTTTCTATTTTATTAACGTTTATTTACCCAAAACACTCATGCAAGAGCTGACTAAGTACACCCAAGTCCATATATAAGAAACCAGAAAATAAAATATAAAAAGAACTCACCATAGAACATAAGATACCACCAACATTTCTCTGATAGAATGTATTATTGTTATTGATAAACCTCGGTTATATTACTTTCTCCAGTCGTAGGTTAGTGTCAAATTTGGTCATTTCACGTTTTGACTTATTTATTTTTGCCTCATAGCGTAAAGGGTTGCGCGTGATACGTACAATCATACATTAATAGGATGCACTGATTTCGAACATTATTTCGAGGTCAGCCATAGACGGGCTAAGGAAAATATGGAGGAATCGAAATATCACCAAAGACACTAAAATTAGACTTGTAAGAGCGCTGGTCTTCCCCTTTATTTATTTTTATTGTTTAGATCGGTGGACGATCTCACGGCTCACCTGGTGTTGAATGGTTAGCGGAGCCCATAGACAACTACAACGTAAATGCCGCCACCCACCTCGAGACATGAGCTCTTAAGGTCTCATTTGTAAGAGTACAATGGCTGCCCCGCCCTTCAAACCAAATCGCATTACTGCTTCACGGCAGAAATAGGCAAGTGCTGGTACCTACCCGCGCGGACTCACAAGAGGTTCTACCACTAGTAATTACGCAAATTATAATTTTGCAGGTTTGATTTTTATTACACGATGTTATTCCTTCACCGTGGAAGTCAATCGTGAACGTAGAGTACGTATTTCATAAGAAAAATTGGTATCCGCCTGTGATTCGAACACTGGTGCGTCGCTCAACACGAATGCACCGGACGTCTTATCCTTTAGGCCACGACAACTTCTTCGACTTTCTTTACGCTGCTGAGACCTGAACATTAAGAGAAAGTGAGAAGAAGAGGGCTCTCGGTATGTGGTGCTGAAGAAGAATGTTGTAAATAACGTGGATGGAGTCCAGAACGAATCAGTTAATTCTACAGGAACTCTGCATTAAGCAGCGTCTATCCTCCATCGTTCAGGGTCGCATTTACGCTTTCTTTGGACATGTGTCGCGATGGGGTGACGACTTAGTTGAGCGCCTTGTGGTGCAGGGCGTGATTGAGTGTACAAGATCGCGCGGCAGATCACCGTTACTATGGACCGACCAGATAAAGGCAGCTCTAAACGGTCCCGTCAACGAGTGCACAAGAAGGGCCGCGGTGCGCGAGGAATGGCGACGTCTGGTGAAGCGTACCACCACCCGAAATGATGACCACGACCAATCTGCCAAGAGTGCAAACGACTGAGAATAATAGAGGGTTGCTTGAAGGAAGATCCGAATACGCGAAGCTGCTTTTGTGTTAGTGTGTTGTAGTAATGTAGTCACAGCCTTACGTTATCTTACGCGGATCTTACGTATGAAAACACTGGCGTATGGCCGACGTATTCATTAGATCTATTAGAAATCACAACGTGATTATTTTGCCATAAAAAATATAGTGATTTGTAAAAAAACTTAATCTAACCGTAGCATTTTATATAATATATTCATATTACATAAATTATACAGAAATATAATAGTTTAATGCAAAATATAACGTGCCAGAATACATATGTTAAACCGTTTAATGAATTCGCTACAGAGTGTATTAAAATTTAAATTTAATAATAACAATAACGAATACGATTGACGGCTTCATTCTCAAGAACTATTTATTTAACTATAAACAGGTGTTAAATCCACGGTTAACATATTCGCTAGGCTGTGCCCCGTGTCGCAAAAATAGGAAACGACTTGTCGTTGCCGAGTGTTGTGGCATCGATGCTCGGTGACGACGAGTCGTGGAAGGCGATGCTCGACTTCTGCGAGTGCACCATCTCGCAGAAGGAGGCGGCGAGGCGCGTGAGAGACTCACAGGCCCNTTATTTAACTATAAACAGGTGTTAAATCCACGGTTAACATATTCGCTAGGCTGTGCCCCGTGTCGCAAAAATAGGAAACGACTTGTCGTTGCCGAGTGTTGTGGCATCGATGCTCGGTGACGACGAGTCGTGGAAGGCGATGCTCGACTTCTGCGAGTGCACCATCTCGCAGAAGGAGGCGGCGAGGCGCGTGAGAGACTCACAGGCCCGCCGCCGTCGAGCGGGGGCCAAGGAGGCGGATCTCGCTCAAGCCCTGGCCCTCTAAGTGTTTCGGGTCTTCCTCACATGTCGGCCTGGGGACCGGCGAAGGGGGCCTAAGAAGACGACGTGCAAGCTGCTCTGCACGCGTTTTATGCATGAGCATCCTAGTGATAGAAGGCCGGCTATCGTCAACCCACGCTGGTTCTGACCCAGCGGGGTATTCCGTAGGATAGACCATTCTAACCGATGCCATCTAGGCGGGCTTCGGATAGCCTGCCGACCGAGAGGGCTGGTGGTCGTGGTGCCGACGACCGCCAGTGCTGCGTCCCGAGGGGGAGGGTGATGGGAGAGATGTGCTCCGCAATAAACACATCACTTTCCCCCCTTTGCCTTTTCATGAGTTCTGTCTCATGCGAGGTTTGGATGCTGGTTGTTGAGCGACAGGAGGATTTAGTCGGTTCGACTCCGACATGCCCCGCCCTCCATCCCCAGTGAAGGGCGGAAGTCCGGCGATTTCCTCCTGACAAAACTGTGCCCTGTGAGCTCGCCTACTCGCTTGGTGAATCTACCTATACTGTAGCCCCTCGAAGTTATTAAAAGAGGTAGGTAAAAAAGAGAGGAATCAACAACGTCTTTCTTACATTTTAAATTTTAAGCCGGAACACAATACTGCTTTGCTTCAGAAGTATACAGGACCGTGGTATCTAACTTTTTTCCCCATCTAATCGTTGGTAGCCTAAGGGGCTATTTCAGCTTCACGCGGACCGGTAGATGAGCTCACGGGCTCAACCTGAGAGAATTGCTAACAAGGGCAGTGCTTCGCTGAATCTATTACCGGATCGGAATCGCGACCCACTGAGAAGATCCGGCGAGAGATTTTGTCAATGGGCTAGTTCACTCGTCGAACTCTTCAACAACGACGGCGACTCCTTTTTTTTTTCAGGGCCGGGGGCCGAGCCTCCTACGAGGTGTATGTAGGACTTGACGATCGGCAAGGTGTTGGGAGCAGACCGCGGGCCCAAGGAATTTTAGGGCCCACCCACTAAACGACTCCCGGGCACTGTAGGGTGCGGTGTGAGTTTGTTAGTTAAAGATAATGTTAATTAAAAATGTTTATTGTTAAAATATAGAGAAATTAAATTAAATGTTAATGTTATGAATGCACCCGGGTGACGCGGTTGTTGATCGTGCACTGACGATTTGTGGAAATGAAGTTAACGCGTCATGCGAATTATGCTGACAAAGGTGTAATATATCACCGAACATATTCCGGGGCAACAAAATAGTTTAATGAAATAATTGTTAGTAAATAGATGATTACGGCTTACAAGAGGATGAAAGACAAACAAAAATAAAATTAAAATGTTAGTATAATAAAATTTAAGAACTTAGGGTCCATATAGGTTTTCTTGGTATTGGAGAGCACGCTTTGTTTGACACTTTGGCATAAATGTTCACATCACCAGGCGGAGGGTCCACCACAGAAGGTCGTGCACTAAACCCTGCCTTAGCACTATTTACATTTTCACAATCACTATACTGTTGAAGCTCGATGCCGTCAGAGATGATCGCCCGGTTCACACTCAACCGTCGTCGTCGCCAGAGTAGCACGCCGGTAGCCAGCACTCCTACAATGACGATGATGTATGTTATCACATATTGATGAATATCGTGAGATGTTAATGAAGTCTCCAATACTGGCGGGGAGTTTTCTAGATCTTCAATACGCACGTGTAGTTTCTAGACAGCATTCTGCAAATCTTTAGACTCGCTGATATTCAGGTTCTCAGTGTTGAGAAGAGAGCTGTTTATGATGTTATTTATCGGATCTATTATTGGAACGTAAATGTTAGACTGAATCTCCAGCTTATTGTTGTTTGTTTTAGGGATATGAAGTGTATAATCTGATCCCTTTATGAGGCAACCTGGCTCTAGATACAGACGACCAGTGTTATTCAACTGTTTCAAGACAATATGTTCTCCGCACATCACCTTTACTTCGCTCAAAATATAATGATCGATCACCTTTCAGCTCGGTTATGTTACAGGCATCGCTGGTGCATAATGACATGAAAAATATTAATGCCATCACCATACACAATAGTTGATTGTTTTTGCTTGTGTTTTGTAGGTTGAGAAGAACAATCATTTTGTTTTTCTTATAGTCAGAACTATCCACTTGCTCAGCTGATTCAATGGGCAATTTAGACAGTTTGACGACAGGTCGTTGTATAATGCCATTTTTTGTTTTGAGTGATACCACCCTGACATAGCCGTCGTTGCCGGGAAACACTTCTATGACTCTACCCATGAGCCATTTTCCAGCCGGAAGATTGTCTTTATGAATAACCACCATATCTCCAATCTTCATGTTTGTTTGTGGCTTCACCCACTTCTGCCGCGTTGTTAATTGTGTTAAATAGTTTGTCTTCCAATTATGCTAAATCTGTTTGAATATGCTGTTGGTCAAATGCCATCTAGTTCTAGCGTCCTCTTTTGTTTCTATAACGGTACCCCCACCCTTCCATTTAAGAAATGTGCTGGTGACAGGTAATGCAAGTCTTCTATGTTTTCTGTTAAAGAACACAATGGCCTAGAGTTAAGACAGGCCTCCAGTTGTCGCCGCGTGTCTGGTTGTAGTGTTGACCGCGGGAACCCCCCTACTCTGACCGGGTTCTGACCCCGGACGGAGATCGGACGTCGGGTGTAAGAGTGCAGGGGAGTCGTTTATTGGATGGGCCCTAAAATCCTTGGGCCCGCAATCTGCTCTCAACACCTGCAGATCGTTGAGTCTCACATACCCGCGCGCCCCTTATGCGCGGGGACCTCGAAGGACGTTAGGCCCGCGGCCCGAAAAAAAAAAAAAGGCCTCCAGTTGTGCTAAGATAGTGCAATACTCTTCAAACGTTAACTTTTGTTCTCCTACGACTCTTTTTAAATACCACTTCAAGCTCTGCATGGTTCGTTCCCACGGGCCTCCTGCACTCGGCCAAGAGGGTGCGTTGAAATGCCATTCAATGTTCATTTCTGCAACTTCAGCCAAAAGACTGTCACTAAAGACTTGGCGCAAAGTATCATATTCTTCCTGTAGCATTCGGTTGGCTCCAA